TCAGCCGATCTACCAGGAAATATTTCTTTCAAGAGGAACGTTCGATTTTGAGCAAATAAGACAGTGGCTAAAACGCACTCGAATTTCGTCGCACCAATGGCAGACCAGGATGGCATTTTCGGCTCGCATAACTAGGAGCAATGATTACTGTGTCAGAACCTTACTATGTCAGACCTATTTCCCGAAATAGGCACCGACGTGTTTATGTATGCCATCAAAGGGCTTCGTGTAGGAGAAATGACGTGAAGACACTAAATATATTTTAATTAAGCCTGAACTGTAATGGCTGCTAAAAGTTGTCATGAGTAGATGACGCAATTATTTAAATTATCTTTAACTCTTGATGAGCTGTCATCATACATTTATACCGCAGGGAACATTTTGTCCTAGGATCAAAATGTTCGGGACCATCATTTCCTACACCCTTATTTTCGACTGCATTTGATATCTCCGACAGTGCATATTGCAACTGCAGTTCTTTTTCCAACACTCATACGTGCGATACGAGCAAGCTCTGCAAGTGCTCCATTTGAAAAAGTAATTTACTCATGCGTAGGACTACATACCTTCGATCAAAAGCGTCGCCTAATTTTACTTTTCTGCATCGGAAGTACTCAGGGTTTGGTTCATCTCATCAAATTTCAAAACTAAGTGCGAAGACAATGTGGTGTTAGGGAAAGGGAGATTGTGTGGAACTCAGTTAAAAACGCCCTTTGATCAGACACAGACGACCAGAAGCATGCGACATCTGTTTTACCTGCATGGAACTAATTCAAGGGGTTTTCTGTTATTCCAGTTCGGTGCTGTTCCATTCGACGTTGTTCCGGTCGGCGTTATTTCGGTAGCTGTAATTCCAATTCAGCGTTTTCCCAACCGATGTCATTTCCCAAGAGAAGGTACTTTCTCGCTCTTATTCCGATTCGGCGTTCTTCCTGTCGATGAGGTTCCGGTTGGTGCAGTTTCTGTCGGCGTTATTCCATTTCGTCGCTATTCCAATTTAGTTCGATTTCTTTCCTGTTTGCATCATTTCTATTCGGTGCAGTTCCGGGATTTTTTTTCGGCATTGTTCCTGTCGGCATTATTCCGTTCGGCGTTGTTCCAGTCGGCGTTGTTCCTGTCGACATTATTCCGACACTGCAAACTTGTCGACACAGTTCCGATTCGGCGCTATTCCGTTCGCGCGAATTCCGCCTCCCTGATTGAGGTCTTGAGAGCGCAGTGGCCAGGCATGTTCAATTCGATATCAAAATAAAAGACCGCCTGGAAAATGTTTCTTCAGCCAAACCAGAACTGCACGTCACAAACAGCTAAAGCTGTTCAAAGCAGAGCAGCTTTAAATAATTAAAGGATGAGGAGTGTGTTTAGCGTCGAGTCTTCACCGCCTATCCGCTGGGTGCATTAAGTTGGAGACATCTGGCGGCAGGAAGCATAAAAATGAACCGAAGGGAGTCAAGTGTGTAAGCTTCAGTGTGCTTCTATCGTATACATGCAGATAGACTATGTAAATGCTTCATTTTCTTTGTCAGAGGAATTTCATGAGGCCAAGAATGATTATATAGTACGTAATCGATGGCCTGACGTTTCTACTTGGAGCATCCGCACAACCTAAAAGGCCTGTTATGCTGCTTCTTTCGGTCCACGCCTTCGCTTTCCATGGGCCTACGAAAATCAAATTTGGCATTTGCTGTCACTGAATAAATAGTGTGAAGAACGGGGTCTTCCACCCTTTTCGCCTCCTAGGCCTACCTGGAAGAACTCTTTGTTCCCTTGACTTTTACGGTGATTAAAAAGGGAAAAACACAACAAAAGAAGAGAAGGAGGAAATATACTGTTTACTCCTCCTGAGGTGTTAAAAAGAGAGTTGCAGGAATCTCATCCTTTTCTACTCTAATGTTTTCCCCACCTTCCTCTTCCCTTCCTAATGGCCTGTTGTAATGAAATGAAACAATGTTAATTTTTTAATAACCTTTGAGAAATTGGCTTTCATGTGGTATATTGTTAATCCTAATATTGTATATTGAAGGAAAGTGTTTTGATTCATTCAATCTGATTTGATGACTTAATTACTGACCATATTATAAGGAATTATTTTTCCTTTTTTTGATATTTCATTATTGTCTTTATTTTAATAAAGTTAAGTAATTTACTTGGAAAGATCACGAGGGTTTCCATTTCTCCAGAATTTCTGTCTGGCGAACCTGCCTTGACCCTCGAATCTGGAACGGGGCAGGTGACTAATTGATATTGATCACTTGTTACGTCACAATAGCCAACTTTAACCCTCGACATGATACGTTTTATCATGAGCTACTAATCCAAATAGGGTTTCTGTCATAGGTTATGATTTAAGTCCATGAAGCACAACTGATAGAAAAATAAAGCTAGTAGCCCTTAAGATAATAAAGAGGGAATCGGAGTCAAAATTTCATCAATTTTAAAGCAGTTTCCTGTTGTAGTGAATTCTATGGGAAACTGGAATATATTATTAGTATCCCACTCATATCATGCACATGTACCTCACTGAGGCCCATGATTCCACGGAAATCCTTGTATTGGTGAGTGGCTTTGAGGAAAACCTGCACCTCCTTTGAAGGTGAAGTTTGATTGAGGATCAAACTACGTTTTTTGCACACCCCTGAACTCTGTCGCATTTAAAACATATTTTACTTCGGCTAGAAGCTCCCTTTATCATTATCGTGGCTCTCAAGTTTTGGGAGAAGCCCCACGTGAAGAAGGATTGTACAATTCTGTGAAGACATGACTTTTTTCCGTTCTCCTCCTGATGTGCGACTCCCCCCACCCATGGGCGGCGCCATATTTAAAACTTGCCATCTAGTATTGGTATTATTGGTAGTAGTATTGGTGCACCCAGCTAATGAACGGTCAGTCAATCATGCCAATTAGGTTGTTCCCGTGTTTCCCGATTGTTTTCCTCCTTTGTTCTCTTCCCCTCCTCTTTTATGGCCTCTCTCCTAATGTTGCTTGTTTAGTGATGAAATCCACTTAATACGAATGCGATGTGAACGATTAAATTACAATGTTAAAAGTACAAATTACAAATCCCAAGGAAAAAAGGTTAACTACTATTCCAAAGAGTCGTCCTTTCTTGAGAAAAACTTTGTGAGAGTATCCCTTGGAAAAGGGAGAGAAAAACTAGGCTTCGTATAAGATTGATTGGGAAACCCGTTCGGACAGGCCTGCAGTCGTTTCATTTGTCTATAAAGACATTGGTCTCGTGTCTGGATTTGGAACCAGGCAAAAGAGGTTAGTGAGACTTACACAGGACGTGGTTTTGCAGCATCCTGTAACGAGTAGATCCATAAAGGAAGAAGAGATCTTCCTTTGCTCATGTTAAACATTTGTAAACGAGGGAAAAAAAGGAAGATCTTGTGCGGAAGAATGCATATTTTCATTCGTATTGATAATTATTTTCATTTTGAGGCCTCAGATGAATTCGAAAAGGACTACACCACATGACACGGGATCATCCCGTCCAGCATCTCCGGCTATTATCATCGTGACATTCAACTCCTGGATAAAAAAAGAGCAATGTCATTCCCATTGAATATTTTTTTCGGCTCGATAACTGCAAGTGGCAAAAGATTTTGGGAGCACTTGGGGCATTAGTGGACCAGGAACTAAAAAGCTTAAGGGCTAAACATTAAAAGGTGACTTCAATGGATGATCATAGTGATGGACCTTGGAGTTTTGTCTCAAAGATGTCATTTAGTGGGTAATAATCTCAAGTGTCAGGATATTTTTACAAGACGTCTTGTCAGGTATAATGCGCATAGATCAGAAGTACCCCTCACTAGCGGCCAGGAGAGACTCTTGCCTATTGTGAAGAGGTAATTTGTTCTTCAATGAGGTATTTTTAATGGAAGGTAGGGGAGGGGGGAAGGGGAAATTGTGCCGACCCGATCCGCTGGCAGTCCTTGACGAGTTGCTGGTATTCCAAGTTTTGATCTCAATTGCTAGGTTATCGACTTCGTGGGATAGTTGAATGATCAAAAACATTTCTAAGTGTCATCAATTCAATTTAAACATTTTTCTTGATAATGTAAGAAAGCTTAGGATCCAGGTCATAAATGAATTTGTATGAAACCAAGCGTTGCTACCTGCAGCAATGTGTATCCTCATTGTAATTAGAAGAGTCCATGTGCATTTTATAAATAATGATTGTACAACGTGAACGTACATGCCTTTAAAGACATCATTAGCTGAGCCTATTTTCCCTATTATGTAAGTTAACATCGCAGAATCTTTCTACCCACCAAAACATTGAATCATGAACTCCCTGTGGTCCACACCGTTACGAACTAAATTGATCCTCGAAGCCTCTTTAACAATATATTATTGTTCCCATGTTCTCATATGTTCAATGCCTTGCAACCAAATAAGTATTTAATATTGATATAAAAAAAAGTCATTACCATTACCATGAATGCTAATTGGAAAAACGTTGAAACAATGTGATTTCAAGCAGTAAATGGAAGAACGCAAAATTAATCCCATGGATGTGCGATCTTCGCAAGGGAAGATGCTCACTGGATTAAACATGTTTTACAATACTCTTAGATGCCATGTCTTCGAAATAAATAAAATTAGCCTCCCATTGAATCATCTTCGGCATTCCATCGCTACCTTAAAAAAATTACCAACAACCATTGGTGAGGGAACTGGGACATTTCAATGTCATTTCATGTCGGATGTCATTCTGATATCAAAAATCTCTGCTAATTGGAGTCAAAAGTTTCTCTGTACGAGTTTTCTTCCTATCTCATAACACCTCATAATATCTCATGACAGGGTAAAGGAAAAACCTAATATATCAAGCTATTTCGATAAAATTTTCATGTCAAAAACACTATTCATCGACTTACGCCGGAGAGTCCTGGTAGGTCGAAGAGGGTGCCAGTAGCGGTATAAACGACAGATTCCCCTACTTCGATGGGGCAATCCCCGGTTATCAAGCCATTACAAGCGTCGAGATCTAATCCCAGCTCCTCCGTGATATCCAATTCAATGCCAGCCAATGTGATCAAGACCAACGGCGCCAGCGTCCGGGAATACACACCTGTAAAGGTTTTCATAATGCGAGAAGCGATGGAGAGCTGGAATGGCAGCATTGCATTCATGAGTTGGCTCCCTTAGACATCTCTATCCCATGCGGGCCCAAAAATCACTTGCTTAGCGTGTTAGCCTCTAAATGCACTTGAAGATGAAAATGTTTAAAGTCCTAATTGAATGACAACATCTTACATTCTGGGCAAGACAAGAAACACGCAATAAAAAAAGGGACCAAATAAGAGATATTTTTGTTGAGTGAAAACTTGAGCTCTTTGTTAGATGCACGAAGATACAATCAATATTCATAACAAGCTAGGCAATGCTTAAATATATTAGCCAACCTTTAGAATAGATTATACACGCTGAAATTTACCTGCGATGCCGGAACCAGTGATGGTAATTCGATCGCCAGGCTCGACCTGACAAGGAACCCGGGGACAGCCGGAAATATCCAGCTGATTATCCAGTGACGATCCACCTGCGATGGCATTCTCATTGACTCAATATTATGGACACTAGTTGAAGATAAAAAGACATTATGCAGTTACCGCAGTCCACCCATCCTTCGGTGGCGAAGACGGTGGTCATGCAGAAGCAGAGGATGATGAGGGTCTTCATTCTTCCAGTTCGTCTTGAGAGCGACTGAATTTTCAGTGCGAATTCCTAGTCCTTATATAAGGGAGATGAAGACGGATGGGGGCAGACAGGGAGTGTCTTCCTGGGCCAGAGATCTGATATACATGATGCTAGATAAGAGTCCCCTAACTTACGTGTACAATGTGCAGTGGCAGATCCGGGGGGGGGGGGGGGGGGGGGGGGGNGGGGGGGGGGGGGGGGGGGGGGGGGGGGGGGGGGGGGGGGGGGGGGGGGACCGGCCCCCTTATGGCCATGCTAGCATTAAAAATTTTTTTTATTTTTTGTAGCTTCTACATTAATTTTCATTGGGACTAGTGAAATAGATATTCAAATTTTTACCCCAGACGAGCAATGAAAAATGCAATAAGGCTGAGGGTAGGCAGGAAATAGGGAACTGCCCCCCACCCATTATGAAAAGTTTCTGTATCCGCAATGTTATTGGGTACTTGATGATTCACTTATTCAGACACACTTCTGTATTATTGCTGTTCTAAGTAGATGCAGACAAAGTTTGTGCAAGTCGGAGTGAGAGGTATTAGGTTTCAAACTAACAACAACACATTTTTAAACATGCGCAAATACTCATCCCAAGCAGCATGTTTATGTAAACAAGATATCAATTTTTGCAATGTCAACTTCTTGCCATTTTCATGCAAACGATATCACGTTCATAGAAAATTTACATTCCTCTATTTACATCACCTAAGGGGATGTGTATTTCATATAAACTAGACATGAATTCACCTGGTTGAAAGAAGCTGCTTGACATGAAATTTATGCAAAGTCAACACCACAACATCCATATAAAACTTTAGCTGACTCTAGACTGTCCCTAGTACGAAGAGCCCTCACTAGATGGAACCCATGTTCCCTGCACCCAACAAATGCAATCAAGTACCTGCTTTCCTGAAATATTAGGTTGACTAATAAGTCTGAGTTTTTTTTTTTCGAAATCTTCTCACGTTGCAGCGTATTTTTGAAAATGTATCAATATGGTTCTGAGTTGTAGTCTAGGTTTCATTGTATTTCTCAGTTATTTTTGTTGTAACCTTTTCTGCTTTTAGGGCTTAGATAATGGATTCAGAAAAGACCTATCTTAGACACTGTATCAGATATGAGTTCGCCCTGGGACACTCGGCGGCGGCAGCAGCCAGGAATGTCAGGTGATAGGCGAGGGGGTTGTCTCTCCGCGCTCGTGCATGTACTGGTTCGATCGGTTTCGCTCTGGCGACTACTCTGTGGAAGACAGACCCCGTTCCGGACGACCAGTCGAGTGCAATGTGGACGAGTTGCGTCGCCTGGTGGAATCCGACTCACGCCAAACCACTCGCTGCTTGGCCTTCTCATTCGGGTGCACCCATGGAACAGTGGAGAGACAGCTGCACTCAAACAGCTAAGTGAACAAATATGGATCTTGAGTGCCACACCATCTCAACCAGAGAGACCTCGATTTGCGCGCCGAGACCTGTACTCTTCTTCTGAGCAAATCTCGCCATTTCGAATGGTTGGACCAAGGGGTTACAGGAGACAAGAAATGGGTCCTCTATGTGAACCATAGTAGGAAGCGCAAGTGGGTAGACGCACAACAGCAGCCGGAACCGGACGTCAAAGGAGAACTTCACCCGAAAAAGGTATTGAATTCGATTTGGTGGGACGTTCGCGGAGTGATCCACTACGAGCTCCTCCCAAACTGCGACAATCACTGCCAACTCCTACTGCCTCCAACTTGAAAGACTCAAGTCCGCTCTCGGTCTCAGACGTCCAGGACTCGACAAAGTCTACATGCTGCACGACAACGCACGACCACACACGGCAAAAGTGACACGCCAAAAGCTGATCGAGCTGGAATGGGAGCTGCATCCTCCGTATTCCCCCTCCGACTACCATCTCTTCCGTGCCCTGCAGCATCACTTGGATGGGAAGAGCTACGACGATCGACAGGCACTCGAGACTGACCTCCACGAGTTCTTCGAATAGAAGCCTGCCCGCTTCTACAGGGATGGGATCCACGCGCTACCTATGAGATGGAGACAGATCGTGGATAGTGATAAGGCATATATTATTGACTGAAGATAGCTCAGAATAAATATAAATAAACATTGTTGATCGAGACAAACGCAAAAACTTATTAACCAACCTAATTGTATCAGGTCTTTCTCTCCACTTTCTTCTTTTCATTGTGCAATTTATAAACATATATTAGGAAAATATTGAAATATGAGATTATCACAATATATGACTCAGGGAATTATTAAATGTTGAAGTTAAGTATGGGAATAAAGAAGTGTACGGGAATAAGGAAGGGTGATATGCAGGACTTCTCAACTTTCAAGCCTCTATCTTCTATGCAAAGTAGTACCTTCATGTCCTACTCATGCTCTCAGGGTTCTGAGCTGGGTGCGGAAGAGTGGAGAAGCAGGTACTCCTGGGAACTTTTAAAGAAGAGTACTTGTGTACTCTTCCGAGCATCTCAGATTTTTCTTTAAAGCTGGTGGTTTACTTATTATAAAAATTAGCATGAATTTTGACAAAATGTTAACATAAGTTTTACATAATATTGATATTAACATGCGGCTTGGGATGCAAACGGGGGATGTCAATTTCATGTAAAATTCCCTTCAAATTTACATCACCGTTTATGTATCACAGAGGTGACATTTCTGCAAACATGTTTACAATATATTGATGAAGGTTTACGTAAAATATTCAATAGATATAAAAGGGACAAAATATATATATCAAATTTATATAATATTGATGTAAACATGCTGCTTGGGATGCTTATGCTTAAACTTGAGCATCTCCGTTAGTTCTAAAAAATCCTCGAAATTTCAAATGTCATCTCTGAGTGTAAAAATATTCTATTTCTCTACAATCAGATGACTTTCATTCCATATTTGTTCCATGGACATTTATATATATGTTCCTTTAAATGACTAATGCGTTCAGAAGTAGAACCAGAACATTCAAAGGATTTTTTTCCCAGCCAAAATGAAATGAACATCTCTGGAAGCGGCCCTTCCTAACAAGTGTAAATCAGATGGCGCCAAATCTATACTGTACGGTGGATGAAGAACAGTAGAACAAACCAGCCGAATTTGTTGAACAGCCTGTGACGTTGCAAATGATGTGTGAGCGCGTGCGTTGTCATGGTGTAACACAACAGAACTTGCAACAAAGGTTGGCCCTTTCTTTTTCATGGCTTGGTAAAGCTTCTTTAGCGTGCATATGTAACGATCACTCTTGATTGTTTCTCAAAACCTCAGATAATCCAGAAGAATACCTCGCCGATCCAAGCAGCAGTCAACATGAACTTCCGAACGGAAGGCTGAGTTTTGAACTTCTTCGGTTTTGGAGGATAGGAATGTCGCCATTTCTTAGACTGACGTTTAGTTTCTGGATCACATGCGTGTTCCGAGGTTCCATCTCCTCTAACAGCATTAGCAAAGAAGTCATCACCCTGCTCCTCGTGGGCTGTCGACAGTTCGTCAGATTTCACGCCCCTGCCACTTCATGTCTTCCGTTAGTTGGCGTGGGACCCAACGCACACACACCTTGGAGTAATCCAGTTTGGAGCATGAAAACAAAATATAATAATACCTACTTTATTTTTAGACAAAGTCCAACCGACGTTAGTTAAATGAAATACCCTGAATCGGATGGAAATGGAAGCAATTTCAAATCAATACGGAATGTGGTGTACACGTGATAATTGTTAAACGCCCGTTTTTCTCTTCCAAACTGGTCATGCAATGCATGACATGCGTGTCCTCACCGCACACCCCTGCCAGCTCATTTATGATTTCTTCTACAGCGTTGTGTCCACACTGAAGTTCACGAATAAATTTTACGTTCTCGAGGTTTCATGATCCTTATGTGAAATGTTTTGATTTTACGTAAATGTAAGTAAATGTAGGCATTACTTTCGGTACTGACCCTCGCATAAGGGTTCAGGGGCAGAAGGTCGAAAAATTTTCGTCGAATCGCAAGAATGTCGACGGCATAAAATGTCGAAAGGCAAAATAGGAGAGGGTAAGAAATGTCGAATTATGACATGGTGGAACGGAGAAAACGTCGAAGGAACCAGAAAGTCGAAAAATGTCGAAAATATGTCGAATGTGCTTGTCTAGGGCTGTCTTTTTTTTCTAAATAGAGTTAGCCCTTTTCTCTTGTTTAGTTCATGCCTTCGTAGACTGTACCCTCAGCCTTCTCAAACTGGAATGATCGTCTATCTTCAGAGATAGGCGATCTTTCCAGTTATTGTTAATGACCTTAAAAGGGGTTCGAACCACACTCGCCCATGAACTAGCAGTCAATCTCGTTACTTTCTTTGTCATAATTCCTCGGCTTGTTATTTTCTGGATCGACTGGGTTCGTCATGGCATTCACGTTTCACAAGACTCAAAAAGGTGGTGCTTTGCTCGTGAATAGTTGTTATATGGACAACAAAGACGTGTCACGGGATGGAAAGGTTTACTGGAGATGCCAAGATGGAAACTCCAAAGTTCGTCTTGTGGCAGAGGGAGAAACTATTTTGAAGGAGGCACCGGATGTGCATCCTAGGCACGAGCCTCGCACCAATAACCACGTCGAGGGATGACACAACACATTGGGGAACAGTTTAATTGGCCGAAACCATCCAACCCTATTCCATTTCTTGGACGTCATCGCTGAAGAGCAGTCAACGGTTCAGCAGCGACGGATTGAGCTGGACAGGCGAGAAACACCACAAAAACGAAAGAAATGCGACATTACCAGAGACACAAAACTGAAGAAGATAACAGAAGAGTTTGATTTGAGGCCTGTGCTTGATTTCTTGAGAGGTTTAGCGTACACAATCAAGTTTTGAGGCAATTTGACAATTGGACATTTGACTGGATCTTTGTCTTTAATTTCTTGATGTGCTTATCGACTCAGTAAAAGTAGCTTTCGACATTTTTTCCATTCCGCGACTTGGCCGTTCGCCATTATTGTCTTCGACCATAAGGAGGTTCGACGTTTTTGGTCATTCGACTGAAGAGAATTCGACATTATGCCATTCGACTATTCGAGAGGATACCCGCATAAGTTACCAA